ACTTAAAATAAAATGAACTAACTATTTGTTTCAGCTTAATCATACCAACTTAAAATAAAATGAACTAACTATTTGTTTCAGCTTAATCATACCAACTTAAAATAAAATGAACTAACTATTTGTTTCAGCTTAATCATACCAACTTAAAATAAAATGAACTAACTATTTGTTTCAGCTTAATCATACCAACTTAAAATAAAATGAACTAACTATTTGTTTCAGCTTAATCATACCAACTTAAAATAAAATGAACTAACTATTTGTTTCAGCTTAATCATACCAACTTAAAATAAAATGAACTAACTATTTGTTTCAGCTTAATCATACCAACTTAAAATAAAATGAACTAACTATTTGTTTCAGCTTAATCATACCAACTTAAAATAAAATGAACTAACTATTTGTTTCAGCTTAATCATACCAACTTAAAATAAAATGAACTAACTATTTGTTTCAGCTTAATCATACCAACTTAAAATAAAATGAACTAACTATTTGTTTCAGCTTAATCATACCAACTTAAAATAAAATGAACTAACTATTTGTTTCAGCTTAATCATACCAACTTAAAATAAAATGAACTAACTATTTGTTTCAGCTTAATCATACCAACTTAAAATAAAATGAACTAACTATTTGTTTCAGCTTAATCATACCAACTTAAAATAAAATGAACTAACTATTTGTTTCAGCTTAATCATACCAACTTAAAATAAAATGAACTAACTATTTGTTTCAGCTTAATCATACCAACTTAAAATAAAATGAACTAACTATTTGTTTCAGCTTAATCATACCAACTTAAGCATACCTAAGGTGGTGTTTGGGAAGTTTGTGTGTTAGGTTTTTTTTGATTTTTTTCACTAAAAGACTAACTTTTTGCAAAATCAAAAAAAACAAATCCAAACAAAATATCACATCCAACCCCATAATCATTTCACTTTTTCTCTCACAAACATCACATCTAACCACAAAAAAACCCAACTATCTTCCCAAACACCAAAAAAAATTTCTTCAATAAAATCCTACAACTAAAAAAACCTACATAAAAACTCACTTTCCAAACATCCACTTGTAATAGCTTTTTTAAAAGGTAAATAATCAGATTTGGAGTATCTGCTTCAAGGGTGCTTCTGATTCTCAACTTAAGTGGAAGAGGGTCAAAATTACTTAAATGCCCTTCACCAATTTGAAGTATTACCAAATTGCCATTATATAAACCACAAAGATATCACTGTTCTCTCTGAAAGAGAGAGATGGCGATTTCCGACGATGAAAGGAGATTTCCGGTGAAGCTCTCTTTCTCTATTCGCCGATGTGCCTTTCCTCTCTCTCTCTCTCTCTTCGTCTACCACAGCATACCTATGTCGTCGTTGTCAACGGCTCTGCAACAGTTATCGATCTTCTCCTCCGTGGCTTCAGGGACACCACCACAGCACCACCATCACACTCAACCACCACTGCTATATCTTTATTTCTCTCATACTCTTTCTACATCCGTCGCAACTACCATGATCTTCCTCGCGATTCGCCATCACTGCAACCCTCAAGACCAAATCGCGACAACAAGCTCCTCAGATCTAGGGGTTTTGGTAGTGGTAGAGAAGATGGATGAGCTGAGAGAGGGCTTCTTGCAGACCACCGGTAGCGGGGAGGACTTCTTGCAGACCACCGATGGCGGCTAGGGTTTTGCAAAATTGTAATGAAAAAAAAAACAATTTATTTCAATTAACTTCCATTTAATTTAAAAAAAATATATTTCAATTAATATTGAAATAAATTGCACAATTTATTTCACAATTATTGATATAAATTACACAATTGCACAATTTTAAATAAAGAAATAAATTGCACAATTTTATTTCAATTAATATTGATATAAATTTATTTCAATTAAATAACTTCTATTAAAAGAATTTTATAATATAAATAAATAAAAAATTTGTTGCTAATTGATATTAATGAAAAAAAATGAAATAACTTCTATTAAATGAAATAAAAAAAATGAAATAACAATTGTTGTAATGAAATGTATCAATTTTTATATTAATTGATACTATTCTTATATTAACTTCTATTAATGAAATAATTTTTTTTAAATTAAAACTGAAGAAAATGAAAAAATAACAATTTTTATATCTTATAAGGGTAAAAAGGACATTACATAATAAAAAGTTATTTTACAATTTATTCAACTAAACACTACTCTGCTGATTAAATCTATAATCTAATAGTTACATCAAACAAATTAATAACTTCTAATTAAAGTCATAATGTATAATCTATTAAGATATAATATATAATCTATTTTAACAATTACACAAAATAGGACCATATTAGGTGAATCAAGACATCAGAGAAAGTGGAGAGCATAGGGACAACCTGGGGAATAAGGAAAAAGAGAACTAACGGGGAAGCTAAAGATTTGATAGAGATTACTTATAAGGTTAACTAAAAAGAAGACATTTTACTATTAAAATTGGTTAACCTTAAAGAATATTCATTGCTTTTGATGCAAGAGTAAAATATGTAAAAATGTAAAACGTGAAAAAATTATATAATATGAAAAAAAAATAAAAAATTAAGTGCATCATACGTCCCAACAAATAAGTAATGGATTTAGGCGATTAACAATAGGAGATGAAGATAGTTGAAGAATAGTTAAGAGAAAAAAAATGTAAATGACAGATAAAATATATGAGGACTAGTGTATGCCCGTGCCTAAAGGCACGGTGCAAATAATGATGAGATCAAAATGTAATTAAATATAAAATTATTGGGTTAAAAGGTAATTTATCTCATTTGTTGCTAAAAATTTGAAGTCAATATAAATGAGGGTCTGGTTAGTTTTGAAAAGATTTTTTATTAAAAAAGTTTGAAAATATTTTTGGTTGTATATTTTGAAAATAAATATTTCCCAATCAACTATTTAAACTACGGCAAGTAACGCAATCATAAACATTTCATTTTTATTAAAAAAACTTTATGACTATAAAGTATAAACTTCATATCAATGCAAACATCTAAAAATAAAAGCACCCTTGCTATGCAAGTTAATAAAAAATTGTAAAGACAAAACAAAACATACAAACCAAGGTTTTGTACATTTGTTAACACTCCATAATTCAAAAAAAATTACATCAAACAATGCACACCAGCCAGTATTTTGCAATTCAAAAAAAAAATTAAAATTAAATACCAACCAACGCACACCAGCTATTACTCTGCAATCTAAGAAAATTAAAATTGAAATGCACACCAACCAGTGCTCTGCAATCTAAAAAAATTAATTTAAATACCAAGCAATGTACACCCGCTGATACCAAACAATGTACACCTGCTGGTGCTACTGCTGCAAATCACATTGTAATAGTTCTTTACAAATTATAAACCTGAAACTACGTGAGAAAAATCTAGGAAAAATAATAAAAATTTAACTTGCCTACAAACAATGTAACATGAGAAAAATGTACTCCCAACACAACCTGACATCAACCAAAAACCTACAAATATTATGAAAACTTTCAGATATAACTAATTAAGTTGAGAAACAACTAATATACCTAGGTAGTTCAATATAAAGCTAGACATTGAGTCATTGAGCAATTAACAATATTTTTTGATTAACACTAAATCACTTGTACATTTTTTGAGCAATACAAAATCACTTGTACATCCATGAAAAATATTAAATCACTTGTACAAAAAATAACAACCTTACAAAAAGTAGCAACCATACATAGCAGTCAAATGTTTTTTTCTAAATCACTTGTACATCTTTTGAGAATTTAAAACGAATAGCAAAAAGTCAACTCGTCTCTCCACTTTTCGAAATAAAACCATTGATAGCAAAATCGATAATAAAATTTAAAAATTAATAGGAAAATTGCAAATCAATAGTAAAGCTTATCAACTTTAATAATTTAAGTGTTAAAGTTTCCTATGATTTTGCAATTTTTTTTGGTCTTACCACTGATTTGCAATTTTTCCTAAATTAATTCCAGTAATTAAGTGTCACGGATAGAAAATACTTAATGAGTTACAATCAAAATGCGAAGAAATAAAAATATATAAAAAAATGACTTACCCTGCAATTTCTGTAAGCAATCTTGGTGAAAATTCTACAAAGATACTAAGATCTTTTTATCCCCAATCGAGCACGGGTCATTCGCTATTTTAATTCATTTTCATATAAGACAATTAGCGAATGACTTGTGCCTAAAAACATTCCAAAAGGAAAGGAAAAAAAAAATATCTAAGCATGCTTTCTATCAATTCTTGCATACCGTATCTCATGAATTATTTTTATGATTTCAAATAAATATATCAAATGGGTTATGTGTTCGAAAACAATTATGATTAAAAATTAATACTGTAATTGCTAAAAAAAGGCAATCAATAGACTATGCTCAATTAAGCGGTCTTAAATAAAAACAGTAATTTTCAAAGACTTTGTAGTGTTTATGGTTATAACCCATGGTAGTTTTGATTATAAAATTTTGTGATGTTTAATTATAAATTTAAGTGGCCTTAGTTATGAGGATTTATGATATTTTTTTTAGATTATGAACTACTGTGATTATAAATGCATATCGTTAAAAAGCTTTTGGGGTGTATATAAATATAATATGACTTGTTGGGTCATTCTATCAAAGACTTGCAATACATGACTTATTGGGTCATTTTATCAAACACATGTGTAATGATTGTAATTGGTTTGAGTCCAGTAAACTTACACCAAAAAATAAAAAAACAAAACAAAAAAACATGATTGGTTGTTCAGGAAATGGGTTCTAGTTGTGTGCCTATATATATATTCCCAAAAATCAAAATAAAGAAAACTTATTGGGTCATTCTATCAAACACTTGCAATACATGACTTATTGGGTCATTCTATAAGATGAAAAAGATGAACAAAAAATAAGATGAAAAAAAAAAATATGACAACACACTAAGGGTTTAAAAATTGTTTGACCCAAAACAAAAATAAAAAAACAGAGCTATCTAGATTAATATGGTAAAACAGACCCCAAACAAAAAAAAAATGGCAAAATAGGCAACCAAATTCAAAGAGGAACCCTTTATATGTAAAAAAAATTAAAATCATATTCAATTGCCAGCCTAGTAAGTGATAAGAGGTTAGTGAACATTTGGATGTAGATTTTCCTGCTACTGCCATTTAGATTTCTCCCCTGGAACAGAACCCCTATGTATGAGGAAACTTACAACTACTTGTTGCAAACCTATTAAACACCAAGAAAATATTAGATAAGAAAAGCACAAACCAGATCAGTCATCTTTTATCTTCCAATGATTGTAGCTAGATCGAGTCATAGGAAAAAAATAAAAAATAAATAAAAAAAATTTACAAAATGAAAATGTTTCTCTTCATTTACATGTCAATTCTAATCATTTAACTACTTGCAAGCTGTTAATGAGTGAAACATATATAGTATCATCAATTACCTTGCAAAAAAAAAAAAAAAAAACATAGTATCATGAATTCCCCCTCCCCATCTATTCCTGACAACAGAAAAATAAGGAAACAAAAGAAAGAGAAAAAAAACTTCCAATTAAATGACTTACTCCAAGGCCATATGATCCATATGTTAATATAGTGGCAGAAGCATCAGTAATATGTTTCTGTGAAGCTGACGTTTGCGAGCAACACTCTTAATCCATTCGATCACTATCTATGAGGTGACATAAAATATTGAAATTTACACACAATGAGCATCACATAAGTAAATTAAAGAAAGCACATATAAAGGCTATCTCATGAATCCATTTCAACAACAAAGGTAACTGATAAACTTGAATGTCAAAAATATTTGGTCCCCCATGAAGCATATAGGTGATTCCATTAACAGCATAACCTTTAACTGCCACCTCAAACATATGAATTCCATATAGGACACAAAATCACATGATAAGACGTTTCTTAAAACTTAAAGCACAAACCAAATCATGCACCTCAAACCTGGTATATACTGTTATACAATATGTTTTAGACCGTGAAACTATCAACCTGATGAACAATACTTCACATCCACCTTGAAGACTGCAAGTCCAGCTGGGAATTGTCACTGAAGCCCCAAAATTTTGTATGATCAAGACAGAAACTGATGACAGATCATATATTAACGGACCCAGGAAAAGGGCTACAAAAGTATATATAGCGCATAGCTCCAAAAAAATAGTAATAATAATACAAAGCAAACTTTGTATATAGTAAACAGGTCTGGTCAAAGCTACCACTCGCTTGTAGCATAAAGAGCACAATTTAAAAATCAAATAAGCTTGAAATGCTAACCCCAGGAGACCATATTGTACTTATGGGCATTCCAGCCAAATTTACAACAGCATTTGAACCTTGAATACAGTCTTTCCACTCTGGCTCCTCTGTAATCACAATTCTTGGAAAGTCCCTGACTCTAATTGCAAGGACACAGAAGAAGGAAATGATGAGAATCAAGCAATAATTCCAGCTATAAGAAGAAATACAAACACCAAAAAAAAAACTTAGTTATTGTGTTAACACAAAAAATAACAGTTTTAAAACTTTAAAAATAAATAAAAGAAAATCTTTATGTGGTGGAACTTGAGAAATGACACACTGCAATGCAAGATAAATTAGACCAAATGTACTCTGCCTACAGCAAATCTGATTATCATTTTGTCAGAAGGCAAAATCAGATGTAGTTTTGCTCCACTATATCACTAATGTCATATACTAACATCTTGTAAGGATTTATGCAGACAAATGTAATCATTACCTTCTTACCCAAATACTGAATACCCAACTTGTTTAGTATCCACTCAACTAATGCAAGCAATAGAAGAGTGGTGTATAGACAAACGAAAGAAAACCTTTTCGAGCTCGTGGGTCTTGATTACATCAAATTCCGTGGGTCCACTCCAAGAGATTGGTTCTGTAATGCCTAACCGTTGCACCTTATTCCAACTGTTCAATCCAGGGCTACCCATTTATCTTATTATTATGGTAACAATTAATTTTAACAATATGAGTCTTGTGTGCACTATTTTATTGGCAGCAATGCACAGTTTTTACCTAGCTTTCAAGTAGAAAACCAGGAATTGAGGTCATACAAACCAAGAAAAATAACAGAAATATTAAATCATTGTTAACTGTACCATCACTATGTCAAAAAGCCCAATACATGAAGCTGAAAGCTACATAAAAATTGAAGAACACAACAACCAAAAAAAAAAAAAAAAAAGAATTGAAAAACCCAAAATTGATACTTGATATTATGAGCAGATAACTAAACAGAACACAACATCACTTGGGCATTTATATTTGTCTATAATCTTTTTTGACTTCTAGAAACAAAGCTTAATCTAGACATTGAACAAATTTTTTTCCCTACTTCTAACACCTTTTATGTGTTCATAGGTGTTTCATTATGTTTGTTATTAATAACCATCATTGACAGGTTCTTTGCTTCCTCAATTGTGTGTTCAATAGATGGAACAAATTCATTGAACACCACATTATTCCTTTGTATCCAAATGGCCCAGAGAATTGCTACAGATTGGATGATAATGTCATCATCCTTTACTTGTTCCATCCATTCTTTGAACCATTGAAAGAAAGCCACCGGTGTTCCACTACTAAAATCAAGCCCCAGCGTTGATCCTCTCCACACCCTTTGTGCCAGTGACAATAAAAAAACACATATTCTAATGTCTCATCACTATGATTACACCTAGCACATCGAAGATTTAGAGCAACTCCTCTCTTTTTTAAGATCCCTGGATTAAGATCCCTGAATTAAGAAAACTAAGCACAAATTCAACAACCGACGAACCTACTTTCCTGCAAAAATGTTGATAAAAACCCGGTATAAACCCATCGGGTCCCAGCGCCTTAAGTTTACCCATTTGAAAAACCACCTTCTTAATTTCATCCAGTGAAAAAGGCTATTCTAACATGTGAATATGTTGCGCATTTAACGTACAATGAACAACATTTAAAATATTAAAATGGTTAGGGAAAAAACCTGTGTCCGAAGAACTCCCATTCGGCCCTTTGTTTGTGAAAAAAGCTTTTGAAAATGTAGTATGAAAGTTCTCTGAATGGCCTGTGGTTCTGTAACAACATGACCTTCTTCATCTTTAAGAAAAGAAATATGATTTCTAATTCTCCTCCAAGGAGCCATTTGATGAAAAAAATCTGTTATTTCTATCTCCAAGCTTCATCCACATTTGTTTCGATCGCTGTGCCCAATACAATTCCTGTTTCTACAAAAGGCCATCCAATTGTTGTCTCAACTCCATCTCTTTGTCAGGCTGCCCAGATTGATGAAGAAAAGATTGAACACGTTGTAACTGACTTTGAGTATCATCTATTTGTCCTTGAATACTTCGGAATGATAAAGAATGCCAATTCTTCAAGTGTCTCATCAAAACCTTTTGTCCCTAACTTATTGAGAATCGATTATACCCCTATGCAGACCACCTCCACACCTTCTTGACAATCTGCTGTGTGGTCTCCTCCCTTAACCATGTTGCTTCAAATCTATTCCACTTCGGACCTTTTAAATTACTCCAATCGGTATCAAGCAATAGAGGGCTATGATCCGAACGTTGAATTGGTAAAGTAATTAGTGAACATCACTTAAAAGCTTCCATCCAACTCAAGGAAGCTAAAGCCCTATTCAACCGTTCATACACTGCAGCTGAATTCCACCGATTGTTGCACCAGGAATACTGAACTCCTTTACTTGGCAAATCAACCATGTTGCTTCAAATCTATTCCACTTCGGACCTTTTAAATTACTCCAATCGGTATCAAGCAATAGAGGGCTATGATCCGAACGTTGAATTGGTAAAGTAATTAGTGAACATCACTTAAAAGCTTCCACCCAACTCAAGGAAGCTAAAGCCCTATTCAACCGTTCATACACTGCAACTGAATTCCACCGATTGTTGCACCAAGAATACTGAACTCCTTTACTTGGCAGATCCACCATTTGGTTTCTGAAAATCAAATTATCAAACTCCTTAGCTCCCTGAATGGGTCAACCTGACAGACTTAATTTCTCCGCATGATTGAAGTCCCCTATAATAATAAATGGATGCTGGAACCTATTGATTTGGCTTTCCACTTGACACCACGCCTCTCCTCTTCTTGAAACTGATGGATGGCCATACAAAAAAACAATGAACCAAACTACTCTAATATCATCTTGAATCTGCAAAGCAATTATATTCGCAGACCTATAAGTTGGCAATACTTCCACTGCATCATTCCACCACACCCATAATCATCCTGCACAACCATTGCTATCTGACCCACAACTGTGTCTGAACCCCATCACATACCCAATTTTACTGGCTTGTTGAACCGATTTCTTTGTTTCCACCAAGAATTTTCGGGTCAATTGGTTTGCTACTTGAAAAACCCAGAATTGATACTTGATATTATGAGCAGATAACTGAACAGAACACAACATCACTTGGGCATTTATATTTGTCTATAATCTTTTTTGACTTCTAGAAACAAAACTTAATCTAGACATTGAACAAAGACAGACAGATTCAACAAATTGAAGGTTACTACAATGAACAGCCACCATGACACCAAATCCCTAATGCTGTGTTATTGTTCATTTTCCATCTAGATTCCATTTAGTTGTTATCAAAAGGGTAAGGGAAAAAAAATTCAAATCTCAAGTTTTTACATCATCTAGGACCCGAGGAAACAAACAAAAAAACCCAACTGACCCAAATAAAATTTGTTCTTATTATTTATCCCAATAAAAAAAAAGGGCGACTTTGTTCTTCATTTGGAAACCAAAACAATGTCAAACGATACAGGTTAGTATTGTAAATTCGTCCTTCAAAGTTTCTTCTTTTTCCAAAAAGAAGGAAAACTAAATTTGAAAATGTGCCAACGTTTCAGAATCAGCTACAATGTGAAGATCTCAGAAATTGTTAAATAATTCTCAACACTGATCTATGCAATGTCATAACAAAAAAAAAATCCTAACCTAGACAAAAATTTCAACTTTGGATACAAAACCAAACCAATCATTAGAAAATAGAGGGGGGGAGAAGGTACTTGAGAGCCATTTTTCGATAAGCGCTTTTGATTTCCTGATCTGTGGAGTTCCTTGAGACGCCAAGAACTTCATAGGGGCCTCGACGAAGCTGCTTCGCCACATCGTGTTTCTCCGATTTCGATCTGTGAGCCAAAAAAAATTGAACTTGTTATGACATTGAAGAACACCCAGAAATTGAGACCTTTCCGGAAGGGGGTCTGCCTTCCAACTTACGTTGACTTGAAATTGGGGGTTGCAAGAAACTTGTGGATTGCCGGAGAGAGTGGGAGAGAGTGGGGTCTCCCCTCTCTTACAAAGTTCGAAAAGAGGAGCTGTTGCAGCACTCCATCTCATCTCCTCAGTGAGAGGCAGAGAAGAGAGGTAGAGAGAGAGAAGAGCGTATGAAAGAGGATGGATGAAAGAGGGGAGCAGAGATGAAAGAGGGGAGACAGAGAGACGGGCGGGAAAAAAATTCATCTCAACCGTTTATTTTTGTTTGAAAAGATCTGTACCGTTCATATCAAATGTATCTCACATACATTTTATACATTTTCAAAAACTCTTGTGCCATATTATATAGATATATAGATATATATATCTATATCTATATACATCACATTCAAACAAATGGGTTGAGTTTGAAATGCAATAGAATCAAGATGAAATCAAACCCATTTTCAGATTTCAGATATCAAACCCATTTCAAAAAACCAATTCCATATGCACAAAATCACAAAAATTGACCCTTCAAATGAAATGCTGAAAAAGTCAGACATGAGACTGTTGTACATACTCACCCAAAAAATGACACTGTTGTACAAAGAATAAACATTTCAAGAAATGGTGATAGAAATCTTTGGATTTGAGGCTTGTTTTGATCTCTTATCCTGATCCAAAGTATACAACTTTTCCTCTTTTTATTGTTATTGACATGTTTTTTTTACAAAAACAGTTATCGGTTTTAAGAGTCTTACACCCAAGACTATGTAGCCCAATTATCATATACTATGTAGCCCAATTTGCGATCTAGCAAACCTTGGAGTATACAAAATCTAAGGTAAATTTACATGATCATTTCTGCAAACAAAACAGACCACATGGAGGATGACTCAACCAGAGCAAGTTGGCTCCACCACTTGATCTAAAATCTTCTTTGTATGTATCTATGCCCCAATCCACAGAATATAATCTATACTAACTATTATACAAAATGTGTTATTAATCAGTCAATAAAAACAAATAATTAAAAAGAGAAACAATCAGTGTTCATTGTTCTCTTCAAACCCTTTGCACACAATAAAAACATCATTTGACAATTTTTTTTTAAAAAAAATAAAAATAAATAAACCAATAATTTCTGCCATAGTTCTAATTAGGCAACCACCAAACAATAAACCATGAACCACAAAATAGGCAACCACCCAACAATAAACCAGAAACAGAAACGATGATAAACAAAAACATCGATTTAAACCATTACCTCAATTCCACCAAAAAAAATTGATTTACTTGAAGCATAAAGAAGCATTGAGGGAGAGAGAGAGGGAGAGAGGTACCGGAGAGCTCCCATGGGGGTTCGAAATAGAGAGAGAAAAAGAAGACAGCGGCGTCAATGTAGAATTTGAGGAAGTTGATGATGATGACGGTGGTTGTGGTGGTGGAAACCCTAGCCTTCGGTGACCCAATCGAAGCACAGTGTCGCGATTCATAATCGGAAACCCTACCTTGCGAGTGGGAGGGTTGCAACTTGAAGCCACAAAGAGAGAAGGGGGGAGAGGCAGAAATTGAGCGCAAGAGGGAGGGTAGAAAAGAAGAACAGAGAGGGAGAGAGAGACAAAGAGGGAATGGGAGGAGACGTGTAACAGAGAGGGAGAGATAGAGAGAGAGAGAGAGAGATAAAGAGGGAATGGGGAAGGAGCCATGGGTAGGTGGGAGAGGGAGAGAGTGTTTGAGCGGGAAGAAAATTGATGTCAACCGTGAGATATTAATTAGGATTGATCTGAGCCCTTAAAATGAAATGTATCTCTGATATTAATTAGAAAATATTGTTCTAATGCTATGTCCTACGAAAACTAAGATATTGAAACCATAATAGAAATATAAAATTAGAATAAATAACACAAAGAACAAAGAGATTATCATTATGTTTAGGGACCAAGTTTAAAACATTAACCAGCTTTTAGGAAGAGTTGTCTCAATTTACGGGTGATACTACATTTTCTCCTAGCAAAGGAACAATAAGGAGGATGTACTCCTAGTAGTACTTGATCTACCCACTTGGAGTAAATGATCTTTGACAAAATCCTAGAATCCAAAAATCGACTCAACAAAAGCAACTAACTTCAAGCAACTGACTCCGTCCTATTGTCAAGCTGCCAATTGGCAGCATAAATATTATATTTAGTACAACTCTCTACATGAGAACCCCAAAATCATAAAGAAATAACAAACATCACATGAAATAAAATGATCAAATTAGAGATTAAAATCCCTCATTTATATATGTAATGACAAATTAGATTGATAGTGCGTATGGTTGGAAATGGAGAGTTGAAAAAAAAAGGAAACAAAAATAGAAATTACTATAGAACTTATCTTAGCTTAGCGTCATCGGTTGATCTCACTCCACTTGTCTGCACACATACACTATCACACAATGGTTTCTCTTTTTAATAGACAATGGCATTGTCAAATGAGAAAAAATAACAACGAAAATGAGTAAGCTTAACAATGTATCAATCGGGGACCCGATTACCATGGGTCCATTTCCGCCATGGGTCCTCTCAATTATTGTAACTAATGCTTTCCTTTCAGCAAAACCAACTAAAATTTGAGTGTGAGAGTGCAATCTAACAAACAATCAAAGTAAAATACCTTTTCGGAGTCTAGTTGAAGATTGACAGTGGTTGAGTACCAAGTAGGCATCACTCTAAGCCAATCTACTACCACCGATTGGTACCAAAATGTATTGATTCCAGACTTAAAAAAACAAAAACAAAAACAAAAAGAAGAAGAAGAAGCTACCAAAAGAAACAGTTAAGAAACAACATCACTACTCTAGAAGTGATAAAGGAAAGAACATGATCATAGCTTCATATTAGATACTAACCTTATTGAATACCCAAATTTCACCATTAACAGTTGATTTTGGTACCATGTCCATTATAATGGAAGAGAACTCTATATGAATTGGCATTCAAGCTCATAATGTGCCTACTTACATGTCATGAAGAATAAGTTAAAACATTATTTGATATTAAATTTATACATAGAAATAATAAAAAAAAAATATCACTTTGAGTTGTCACCGTTTATATTGGAAGAAGTAAAATGACATAAATACTTTCATAACATTAAACCTTTACTCATGAGAAATTAAATGCACAACCAATTTGACAACCGGTGCCACAACTTGAAAAGCAAATTAAACAAAGAATAAAAAGACACATGTTATGTAGTCAATTGTAGACCACAAAAAAATTCAACAGGTCAAAGTAGATACACCCATACAACAAACATTTCAAACTAATATCATAAATTAAAACCCATTTCATAAATCAAAAGCTTTTCAAAACCATAGGAAATCAACAACCATTTCAAAAATCAACACCCATTCCCATTAAAGAATCAAACCCATTTCATAAATCAAAACCATGTCAGAAATCAAACTGAACATAAAAAATTCATTTCTGAAATCAAAATCCATTTAAAAAATGAAACCCATTTCATGAAACAAAACTTATTTCAAAAATTAAAACTCATTTCTCATTTCAAAATCAAAACTTATTTCAAAAATTAAAACTCATTTCTCATTTCAAAATCAAACCCATGTCAGAAGCTAAACTATAAATAGAAATCCACACAATGACCAACCTAACCAAACACCCACAAACGTCAAAAAGGTTTATGGTTTAAACACCAATGCACAATTCACAAAAATAAATGATATGAGATTCAACAAAATGAAAAAATTTCCAAAATCCAGATTTGAAAAAAATAACCAAATTAAAAAATATTCAGACTCATAAAAGTATCTAGATTCAAGTAATCAGAAACAACCAAACCCACAAAAATATCATGAATTGCAAAGGTTGGAAGTTCTAGATTCAAGCACAAACCAAAAAAAAACCCCAATTGTAATTCATATTTCCAGCCACTTTCATTTTCTCTCCACAAATCACTCTTCAAATCCAAGATTAAAGCACAAACCAAAAAAAAAATCCAATTTTAACTTTACACTACCTTCAATTTCTAAAACTCCTACCTTCAATTTCCAAAAAAAAACCCCAATTTTAACTTTTCACTACCTTTAATTATTCCACTACCTTCAATTTCTAAAACTCCCAAAACTTCTGCATAAATACACATATGTAAACAAAAAAAAATCCTAAATACACAATCCCCACAATACACAAGCAGACATTCAAATACCCTATGAGAGATTGATCTGATTCAGTGGGGGAAAAAACTAAGAACTTAACTAATTAAAATACCTGTTTGGGATCTCTTTGAATATTGACAACGACGGAGTATCGATCTCTCTAGAGACGGTGGTGGTCCAACGAAATCTTCCCTTTTGCAATGGCTCCTTTCGAAATCTCTCCTATGGGCTGAAAAGGTTGTGTCGATTGTGGTGGAATATGGAGTTTGGCCTGCCACTGTTGATGAAGATTGAGATGGCAGAAAGGGGGAGGAAGGAAAAGAGAAAGAAGAAACGAATTGGAGAGAGAGAATGAAAGAGTATTGACTGAATCAGAGTGAGGGAGGAAGAAGAAACGAATAGGGATTATGGTTGAGTATCCCACACAGGATGGGCTCTGATGGAGGTATAGAGAGAGAGAGAGAGAGAGAGAGATTTTCTTCGATTTACAAAGAGTGGGTGGGAAATGAAGAAATCTCAACCGTTGAAGTTTAGATGGGACAATCTGATCCATTGATACAAAATGTATCTCTTAGACATTTTATGACATTTTCAAAAACTCTTGTGCCATATTATATAGATAGTTGAATAAATTTATTTTGCTATAAAAATTCAAGAATAATTAGGTAATTTAACATTTTAGCTACATTAAAAAAATACATAAACAAAAAAGAAAAGATTAAATAAATGCCAACCCACAAGACAAGAGGCATTTTGTAATTTCTAATTTTTTTATAATTTTCATAGACTTTGATGTTTGTAATTTTGTTGGCTACATATTTTGTATAGGCCAATCGCAATTCAACACGTGGTAGGATGAGAGCAATACGGGAAGACAATTCAAATCCTCAATCGTAATCACACACGTGGCAGTTAGTATTGGTTATTGTAGATCTGCATAACACTGGATCAACAAAGAGATGCAAAATGACGTGGCTTTAACGGTTACTCATATATTTCAATTCAAAATCAGAAGGGAAGCCTAACTGCAGACATGGCATAGTGGACCTAACTGTGAGGAAACATGATCAGCGATCATGGAGGGATGGTTCGACGATTAGAAACGCATTTCGACGGTTGTCATTAAGAAGTATAAATAGTAGAGAAGGCTCCAGAAAGAAGCCTCAGACTCAGATTCAAAAAAATCAGTTTTATTCTACTTTATTTTCCTTCCAGCTTTACATTTCTTGTTCTTTACATTTCTGTACTTCAAATTCCTGCACTGCACTTCTTTCATAGGAGTAGTTTCAAGTAGTTTATTGCTGTAAACCTTTACAAGGCTAAATTGAATCATTGTAAGTCTTTCATTTTTACTTAAATGAAATGTTACGATTGTTCTTTATTTAATCGTTGTTTGCTTAATTCTCCTAAACAAAGCTACCAGTAAAAGTCCTCTTCATTGAGGCTGAAAGAACTAAAACACAATCGTTTGATAATTGGTTGGCAATTTATTTTCTGTAAGGACTAATTGATCCTTGCTGGCACGTTTAAAATTACAATAATAACCTTCGAAAACCAAAAAGTCAACATATATTTTTGGCACGCCCAGTCGGACTAATTGAAATCGCTGCTTGGAAGAAGGCGTGGAAGGAGAGGTAGAAATACCTAATCCAGAGGATAATGTGATAACACATCCTATGAAAGTACCTGTCTTATCAGAACCAATGGTCAAACAGACCAGCACTTCAGAGCAAGTATCACATGTTCAAAGTATTGGACAAGGCCAAGGAATTAGACCATCCATTGTTCCATCTACTCAGCCAATGAATCCATAGGGAGGCCTAGTAGATGCCATGGGACAATAGTTAATGAACACAATGGAAAGATGGGCAACATCCTTTTTTAATCGAATGAAAACTCATCAACCAATTAATGCAAGGTACATAGAGGAAACTTCAAATGTCCCTTAGCAAAGATTGGCTAGATATAAACAGCCTATGCAGAATAATGGACATACTAATGGTCAAACTAGTAACCAAAACTATGAAAGACCATCACCTCAGTCTTGGTATGAGCCTCTTTCGAGGCCTGTGACAAATCAAAATGCCTCATTACTTAATAATGAAACCATGCAAATTGGTGGATCCGGGCCAACACAAGAAAATGGCATAAGGATGCTTCCAAATCCCATGTTCGAAGCCATACCTGGCACAAGGGGGTTCACTAATCCTTTGTTCGAATTTGTATCCGGGGGGTTGAAAGGGTTTCTTGTGACTGGAAGAGACACAACACCCGTTCCAGCACCTTTCGCAGGTCCTTTCGCAGGACAGGCTCAGAGGGGTCACCCATACCCTCAACAACAGCCAGTACGACAGGGACAACCAGTCCCAAATATACCGCCCTATGGACCAAAAATACCTCAGGCACAAGGTTGTCCACAAAATCCTATGTTTGTTCCTCCAATAGTGGTTCAACAAGCACAAAATATGGTTCCTAGGGACCAAATTGCTGATATTGTTAGAGAGATGTGTGGACCGATCGCTTAGGGGGTTCAAACTCCTATGTACAGGAAACCATATCCAGAATGGGTATATAGGGTACATGAATACCCAAGAGGGTTTAGGATACCAGACTTTGCTCTTTTTTATGGAAATGGAAACCAATCAACGGTAAAGCATATTGTTAGGTTCACTGCTCAATGTGGTGAATTTACCAATAATGATTAAATGAAGTTAAGACTGTTCCCAAATTCTCTAACTGGGGCAGCCTTTGTATGGTATATTAACCTTACACCTAGCTCTATCCAAACTTGGCAACAAATGGAGGAGGCATTTCATGCCCAATTTTTCAAAACGAAGCCAGAAGTTTCTATGGCAGACTTGGCAAGGTTGAGTAAAAGGCCTGATGAGAAAGCTGCTCAATTTATTGCCAGATTCAAAAGAGCATGAAACAAATGTAGGATCATCCTACCAAAGCCTGAATTCGTGAGATTGGCTCAAAATGGTCTAGAGTTTAGGCTTCAAAAGAAATTTGACTCAACTGAGTTTAGAGACTTAGTGGAACTAACCTATAAGGTATCTAGGTATGAAGCATTACCATAGGAAGAACAAGATCAAAGTAATGCATCATACAAGACGTATTATAGAGATCCTAATTATGAGATTGATACAACAGAGATTGTGTGATCTGTGAGGCATTAACTCATAAAGACACAACAATAGACCAGCAGTTTAAAAAGAAAGACCTTCATAGGAAATACTCTTTCGATTGAACAAAGGTAGTTGACATTTTTAATCATTTTCTTGCGGCAAACTTCTTGAAGTTACCAAAAGGAGTCAAAATTCTGTCTCCAAAGGAACTTAAAGAAAAAGTGTATTATAAATGGCATAATTCTTGGTCTCACTCAACTAAAAACTGTGTTGTTTTTCAAGGCAAGATCCAAAAACAGATTCGAAATGGGAGTTTAAAATTCCCAGCTAAAACATAAAAGGTTATGGGGATTAACACTTATCCAATCCCAGAAAATTGGAGAAGTTGCAACCAGTGTTATTGTGCCAGACTTCCGGAACTTATCCTTAAAGGAATTGGCAGAGGTCAATGTGTAAATGCATGTTCCCATCCAGACTACTGTGGAGAAAGATGCTAGAAGTTCACCAACTGTTGGACAGGGCTTTGCAAACCAGATGGAAGACTCTGATGAGGAGGCAGTGCATGATGATTCTTTAGAGGTAGCTGTCATGCAAAGAATGTATCCTAGGTGTAGGTTGAGCTACAAGTGGTTGAAAGGGTTTCCGATTGATGGGAAGCAATATTGTAAGGATGTACAAAGGCGTCTTAAACCATCCAGTGCCTATAACAAAAGGCCATATCCAACTGGTCCTAGGCAGCAGCCATTCATGGCTGGGTCAGCAGCCACCAGAGTGCACTCCAACGACAAGAGACCTTTACATGAGTTCAGACCACCCAACTATTACAAAATGGATGGCAATCATCCTAAAAGGAGACCTGAAGTGGGCTCAAGTTATGGGATCAAAGCCAGAGATTGGCCCCCTAGACCAGCCTCACACAGGATGAAAAGTGGCCACCTTCATGGAAGACCTGAATTAGGCCCAAAACAGGGAGTCAGGGCCAAGCAGTGGCCTTCACAGGCAGCTTCGAAACTGGCTCCAAAGGAAGAAAGAGATAGTTCGACAACTGAGTTAATGGGTTCATGGGTACCTGGAGTTCCAGATTGGTTTGTTATGTAGAACAAACCTAAGGAAATACTTATCCAAAGAAATGTTGTTGGAGACCAGGGTAGGATGGTCAAACCTCCATTGGTAGCGCCAAATAATTGGGTATTACTAAAGCATCCAAAAACAAAGGAACCAAACATGGTCCCAGTGATTTCTAGATCCCAAAGGAGAAAGATCCAGCGAAGGTATACTCAATACCAAAACGATCTGAAAGAAAGTGGAGAAAGCTCTTCATTGGTCTAGTCAAAGGGCCAGACAGAGGGAAGAAAGAGTCTAAAGTTAGATCATAGTCCAAAATCGACTCTTCAAGACAGAAGGAGTTGCAGCATAGAGCAATTGGCCAAAGTTCACTATGAACTAAAAGCCAAAGAAAGATCCAGTTTAGCAGGATTGGAAAGGACTTTGATGGAAAGCGATAGTGAGATAACCAGCAGAAACAGACCATTCGAAGAAAGTCACTAGTGTTGAAGTGCCAGAATGTAGCATGGAAGATGCTTCTGAAGTAATTGAACAAGTTGGCCAAGAAAATAATCAGGCACAGCCAGTCGTCCAATTTGGCTCGTTTCCTCCAGTATCAATGAATATGGTGCATATACTACCACAGGAATTCCAAGCTGAAGATGAAAACCAAGAAGGTTAGGAGATTGACCCAATTTCAGTTTCTAGTGAAGACTCACAAGTAAGTATGGTGCAAGACGAATCCAAAGTGGCCACACCAATAGAAACTAGAGACGAGAGTGAGGAAGATGTGAGTATTAACCTCTCATACCCTTTTGAGTATCCCACAACATCCATGACACAGCATGTCAAACCCTTGTATATCAAGGCCTTTTTCGATGGGATACAGATGTACCGGGTATTTGTGGATAATGGGGTAGCAGTAAACTTGCTTCCGAAATCTTCTTTGAAGAAACTAGGAAAGAGGAACCCCAGGTTGATCCCAACCAGCACAACCATTGCTGGTTTCGCTGGAGACAAATAGATGGCTCAGGGCATTTTGCCCATCAACCTGAGTGTGGGAATCAGGTACTGCATGACGGCATTCTTTGTTATCGACAACAATGCTAAGTATAATGCTCTACTTGGTAGGGATTGGATTCACACCAACAAATGTGTACCTTCCTCTCTACATCAGAATATAATGATGGCTTTACGTAATGGAGAGACAGAGGAGATCAATAAAGACCCTCAACCCTTCATAGCTTGTGCAGATTTTGCAGAGGCCAAATTGTATACTGAATGAGTGACACCACTTAGTATAATGAGAAAACCTGATGGATCAGCCGAAGTGACGACTAATGAGGAATTAGCACACCTAAAACACTTAGTCTAGGAAAGTGCT